CTTGTCGTCCTCGAGTTGACTACGCTGGTTTCGTCGCCTCCTGCGTTGACTACGGGTCTGTCGTCGCCGCTTGGTGTTGACTACGCCTCTGTCGTCGCCCTCGCGCGTTGACTACGTTGCTTGCTGCGGGTCGCCTGGGCTGGGACGAGTTGCTTCGCCCTTTCGCTTGCCTGTAATGGAGTTACTCCAGTCAGTTGCTGCCTTTCGGGCGCGTCACTTCAGGATGGTTCTGTTCTCGCTTCCATGCGAATCAACCAACCAGTGTGTCTTCGGCTTTCCTTGGGCAGCTCGGCGCATTCTGCGATTGGCGTTGAATTGCGGCGCTAGGCCGCGATTGCTCTCGCCGATCTGCCCCGTCCGCGGCGTCGATCTCTCCCTCTCACCGACGCGCGCCCTCCAACCAAATCGCAACCATTTCGTTGATCGGGAGATGCGACCGCGAGAAATCAGCTAGAGACGCCTCGACCGACGGCCGACCGATGGTCGACGCATCGATTGATGGCGACCGATGGTCGATCTCGGTCGATCGATGACCCACCGAAGGTGACGGACGCTTCGACCGATGGTCGACGCGTACGACAGCCCCCTTTTGAGTTTTTGGAGTTACATGTCGGTTTCGCATAGTGGATAATACAGAAGTCATTAACGCGCTCGCGCGATACTAAGTTTTGCGTTGTTCAGTATAGACAAAATGATGTTTAATTTAAAGACGAAATTCAATGTTTTGGGGTTCTTGACGGAGGCCGACGCACGCGCCGACCATCTGCGTTGTCGGTTCTATACAACGATGCAGCAGATGCGTCGACAACCCGATTGTGAAAACACAATGTAAAATTTCTTTATCTGGTCGAGACACGCGACCTTGTGAAATCCGCTGGTGACGCGTCGACCGATGGCCGACCGATGGACGGCGCGTCGACCGATGGGCGACGGATGATCGACCTCGGCTGGGTTGTCGACCGAAGCTGGCGGACGCGTCAGCCGATGGCTGATGCGCCCGTGAGCTTTATTAAAGAGTTCCAGGATTTTTCGATTTAGTTTTTCTTAGAACTTATATGTTCGCTTTTATAAAATAAGCATACAGCATTGATTAACGCGCGCGTCGGTCATAGGCATCGCGGCGCTCTAATTGAGTTCTACAGAATTCTGGGCTATGTTAACTCGAAAACCCAATGGTGAAAACCCAATGTAAAATTTCATTCTCAGATCAGAAGAGGCAACTATATGAATGTGGAATATAGGAAATCTATTACACCACCATGCAAATGACCGACGCGCGCGCGCGCGCGCACGCGAACGCTTCGCGGTGTAATAGATTTTCTATATTCCACATTCATATAGTTGCCCCTTCTGATCTGAGAATGAAATTTTGCATAGGGTTTTCGCCATTGGGTTTTCGAGTTAACATCGCACAAATCTGTTCAAAACTTAACTAAAGCGCCGCGATGCAAATGACCGACGCGCGCGCGCGCATGCGCGCGCGCTTCGCGGTGAAATAGATTTCCTATGTTCCACATTCTTATAGTTGCCCCTTCTGATCTGAGAATGAAATTTTACATTGGGTTTTCGCCATTTGGTTTTCGAGATAACATCGCCCAAATTCTGTATAATTTAATTTAAGCGGCGCGGTGCAAATGACCGACGCGCGCGCGCGCTTCGCGGTGTAATAGATTTCCAATATCCCACATTCATATAGTTGCCTCTTCTGATCTGAGAATGAATTTTTACATTGGGTTTTCACCATTGGGTTTTCGAGTTAACATCGCCCAAAATTCTGTAGAACTCAACTGAAGCGCCGCGATGCCTATGACCGACGCGTGCGCGCGCGCGCCGGTCATTTGCATCGCGCCACTTCAGTTAAGTTCTAAACAGATTTGTGCGATGTTAACTCGAAAACCCAATGGCGAAAACCCAATGTAAAATTTCATCCTCAGATCAGAAGAGGCAACTATATGAATGTGGAATATAGGAAATCTATTACACCGCGAAGCGTTCGCGCGCGCGCGTCGGTCATTTGCATGGTGGCGTAGTAGATTTTCTATGTTCCACATTCATATAGTTGCCTCTTCTGATCTGATAATGAAATTTTACATTGGGTTTTCGTCATTGAGTTTTCGAATTAACATAGCCCAAACTCTGTAGAACCTAATTAGAGCGCTGCGATGCAAATGACCGACGCGCGCGCACGCGCGCGCGTTCACTTTTCCCCTCCGGTACCACCGCCACCCTCACCGCTCCCTTTGCCTTTTTCACCTTGCGCACCAAACCGACGTCCGCTATTTCGCCCCACCTCCTCATAATGTTTCACTTCTGGTTTCTCCGTTTACTTTTACATTGCGTGTTTCTTTTCTTTTTTATTTCTGACGCTGTATTTATTGTCGTTATTTTTATTCCTCTTTCGATATCTCTCTCGCGTTTATATTTTTCGCACGCCAGCACGCACGCCGCGTCGCTCTCTTTCTCTCTTTTTTTGTTTCTCTCTCTCTCTCTCTCGCTCCCTCTCTCAATCTTCTCTTTCCCCACCACAATTGCCAGTACGTACGCATATACGTATACAAGTGTTGTGTTGTTTGGTGTGTAGATGTCAGCGCATTGTCTAGGACATGTAAGCGAACGTAATACATAGCAACGCAACATAAGAACGCATGGTGCATATTTTATTTGCCTATGTGCACAATTGTACCATTGTACCAACACAAACAACACACACTTTGACAGACGCGCTCGCTAGGCTACCAGTATGTGTCGATGTATGATACGACACCTAGCACATGTTCTTGCGTAAGCTTAGCTTGGGTTCTTAGATTTCTCTTAGGGCAATTCAATCATTTGGGCGTTTTAGGTTCTTGGGCTTGGGGCTCTTCGGGCGACTTGGGGCTCTGTTTCTTGGGGTATCGGGTATCTCGGAATATTTGGGGTATTTGTGCGTTCGGGCTATCTCTGAACCAACGATGAAGACATATTATAATATTGAGAAGGCCTGACTCACGACAGGAACCTCCAATGCGCATGGAAAGCGACTGTGGCTGCTTTTTTTTTGCCCAAGCCATCGCTTCATTTCATTCAGAAGATTCATTGGCATTCTCGTCGCTTTACTGTATTCACTCTGTTACATGTTGTTGTGTGTATAGTATGGAAGCTGAGGCAAGACCCATTCTTACCCAGTCGCATGGGCATCGCGGTTCGATTCTGAAGATCAATCTTGCCGAGCTCCCAGCAACTTTCGAGAAGGACCATGTCATTTTCCTAAAGATACCAATTCGCATAGAAATCAGATCTAAAAATCCTGGAGTTCAAGTTCAGCAGAATCGTGACCAAGAGCGGGTGGAGGCTGCCAGAGAGAGGCTGCCCGAGGAGGAGCCCAAACCGGTGTCATCTCAGTCATCTCCAGTTGCCGCGCGCCAGTGTGACGTGCAGCCTTTGAAGAGACAGGTTGTCAGTTGGGGCGACGGCGATGGCTCCCAGAACCTCGAAGACTCTTTCGAAGACTATCTTGGTCTTCCAGTTGAACCTCAGAGTTTGCATCGGCGCGACAACGACGCGCAGGATTCCTTGATCACCCAGGAGGGGCACCTTCACTCTCAGGAGCAGCAGCCGAAGCCTACCCATGCAACCCCTCAGAGTCTGACTGAGAGTCAGAGGTGGGTGAACGAAGCGCGCGCCAACTACCTCAAGACAGGCCGCTGGGGCCGAGTAGATCTGACTGGTGATGATGATCATCTCAAGTCGAGTGCGAGCTCTTCTGGTAAGAACAATGGAAATGGTGGAAGTGCAGGTGCTGTTCTATTTCGCGATATTGTGGCTGGGCTCGACGAAGATTCTCCTTTGAAGAGGTAAGCGACGTTGCCAATGGCCATCTGGGCCTTTGCAGACCAACCGAAAAGAACAATGGTATGGGACTGCACACTGTTGGTTTAGAGTCTGGAGATTTCTGAGCTCACAAGCGTGTTACAATTTGCTGAGTTTCTCAACGTCGGACTCTCAGCCTCGCCTGTTTGTGATTCACATTTCGCGATATCGGTAAACGGATCCTGCCCTTTCGAACGACAGTCTGCTTGCGAGGGCACCGTGGCTTCGCACAAAACATTCACTCCAGGGTTTCTTAGGGATTCTTGGGGATCTCTAGGGTTCTTAAGGGGCTTCTGAGGGCACTCTAGGGTTCTTAGGGCTTCTGAGGGCACTCTGGGATTCTTAGGGGTGCTTAGGGGTTCTTAGGTGTTCTTAGGGGTTCTTAAGGCTCGTGGGGGTTCTTAGGGGTTCGTAGGGGTTCGTAGGGGTTCTTAGTGTTCTGAGGGATTATGAGGGCACTCTGGGGTTCTTAGGGCTTCTGAGGGCACCCTGGGGTTCTTAGGACAACCATGTCGTCTCCTAGGGCTTCTGAGGGCACTCTAGGGTTCATAGGGGTTCTTGGGGATCTTAGGTTCTTGGGATCTTAGGGTTCTCTAGTGCACGTTAGGCTTCATCGGGATACTTTGGGGATCTCATAATTCTTTAGGGTACGTTGGGGTTCTGAGGGGTCTTGGGTTATTTATGGCATTTTGGTTATTTTAGGGTATGTTGGTTCCAGAGAACTAGAATGTGCGATTCTCAAACAAGGTGATATTGAATAGTTGCTTCGCCCGTGCATGCGATGCTCATATGACACTGGTTGTCGTTTGAATGCAATTATCTTTCTATGTTGCTACTTTCCTTGACCAGCCACGGATCGACGGATTCGCGTCAGCGTCCAGAATATGGGGGGGATGGGGGCGGTGAGGATGTGGGAGGGCAAGAAGGAGAGTGGGAGATGAGGGCAGGATGAGGGAGCATAGGGGGGAGGGGAGATTTTTTTCTGGACGCTGTCGGTGACTTCTCGAGGCACGTCTGCCTCGGCCAGGCACCACCACTCCCCACCACCGTGCGCTTTTGGGGGCTCGAAGCCGCACTACCAGCCTTTCCGAAGTGCCCAGGGATCTGCACCGCCCACCACCCCGCAATCTCGTGCCACCGCAACCTCGGGAATGGCGAGCAGCTCCTCAGCAGGCGGGCAGCAGACACCCCCTCAGGAGACGCTTGAGTTGTGTCTGCCCGACTTGATGGGCGCCCTGGCGTGCACTGAGGACTCAGTGTCTGTCGCACCCAGGCGCCTTGGGAGCAGGGTGCAGTTCGACGCGAGCCATGCCATTTTGAGTTCTATGGGCCCAGCCCCCTTGGAAGCCGTCCGTGGCATGGACGGGGATGACAGGTTCGTCAAGCAAGAGAACCGCGGCGAGAACCGATGGGAGGTCACCAGCGCGGGCCAGGAGGAGATGAAAGACGGCAGCGGCACCGAGCACGCGAAGACGAAGGACGCAACCGAGGAGTCGGTCACCGCGATGCTGGAGCTTGGTGGGCTCAGCCTGGCGTTCTACAGCACGGCCGTGGCCATGCTGCAGAGCACGAGCGTCAAGCCGCCACCTGTGCCAGAGGCGGCGCAGGATATGGCTCGACCAGTGGGCACCGAGGATGGTGATCCAGAACAGGACGACGTGGCAGATGCCGACGGAGACGGTGATGGCCAAGGCGATCGACCGCTTGCAGTGGACGGCGGCAACGTCGACGACGGCGAGAACATCTTGGCGTTCCAGCAGACCAAGGGCATCAACGACCTGTCTGTCAGCGGCAACCTCCCGTCAGGGACTGTCTACGGGGCTGTCAACAAGATCAGGGGAACCATCAACGCGTACGTCAACAAGCTCGCTGAGTCGAGCTGGTACGACAAATTTGTCTTGGGAACTATGCACGCTCTGCACAGGCGCCTCATGAAGCACAAGCACAACGTTGTTGGGAAGGCTCAGTTCGACGTACAATGTGCCTTTCACCAGCTGGACAATCGACTTGATAAAGGTCTCATTGCTTTGTACAAGGGGATCAAGGGCTGGCTGGAGAGTCAGGACGATGCCATGTTGATAGATACGCTGGAGCCGTTTACGATTGTGTTGCCCTATTTGATGAAGGAACGCGTGTGTTTGTCAGAGGAGCTCCGCATCGTCATGATATACGCCATCTTCCAGGGACTTGCGGCTCAGTTAAAGTCTGTACCTCAGGCCATGGAGATATTCGACGTTACGATTTTCGAAGTCTTCTGCAAGATCAGGTCTTATACCCCTATCGTGGAGGCCGCCCCAGCAGTTAAGGTCGAGGCCGATATCGAGGTGGACTCTTGCTGCGTCACAGCCACAGCTACTGAGGCGCAGAGTGGCAGTGGCAATGCGGGCGGGCAGCTGGAAGCAAGGCCCAAGAGGAGGGCTCGACGACAATTGGAAGACATCCATTCTCGAGTGCCCACTGGCCAGACACCTGTCTTCTACATGTCGTGCATGATTTCGGAATCCATTCGAGCATGGCTTTCCAGCGTGCCAGCAGAGTCCGCGGAGCGCGCCACCGACGCTTACAAGGTCATGCAGGATCTCGAGTTGGTCGGCAAGAGCTGGGATTCGAAGGAGAGCCAGGTCGCGACGGACATGGAGGATGATTCTTTCTCTGAGGCGTCGCGATGCCAAAGCAATGCGGCCCACGCATCGCCTTGCACGCTCTTTTTCGTGAAGCCCAAATTCCCAAGGGCTTGCTTCAGTTTCTCGGAAAACATATTGTTTGAAATTCGAGTGGGTTTGTCCAGTTTTGTGAGAGTTCCAAGGCGGGGGTTGGTCGTAGACCTTTGGCCTCAAAGGCGTTGAGGAGCGTCGTCACCATCGCGAAGTGCATGAGCCATTATGAGAGCTCCAGGCCGCCCACTGCCGAAGTCAGGCAGGCAAGGAGGACAATCCACGACTTGATCAGACAGGCCAGCTCTCCAGCATCGGAGCTCGCGCGCACCATGCAGGCATGCCCCGTGGGCAAGGCCTTCATGGAGGCCAGCCGCAAGCACGTTGCGCAGTCGATCGAGGACGATACAGCTACGACATCATTTGATCTCGCATCGAAGTCTTTCCAGAAGGATTTCGAGCAGGCTTTTGATGGTGCTGAGGGTTGGGTTGCGGAGATGCGAAACATGTCACGCCATACTGGCTACACTGAAATCACGACTGTGATGACCAAGATGCGCCTCTTCTTCACCACCGCCCACGGCTCGATCAAGGCTTGGTCCACGGCATCTTGCCGCGCGAACTTGAAGTTCTGTGCCGAGAACCTCAACAACTGCTTGGTCTTGCTCCAAATCGGTAAGTACATGCTCGTTGATATTTTCGATCAGCTCATCGTCGATCAGATTCCTATTCTCGGTGACGCGTTGATTCATCAATACAGCGATCCTGCAAACGATGCGGCTCAGGGAGAGGCTGGCGAGGACGAGCAGTCTGAGAAGCAGGAGCAGGAGCCTAAGACCTTCGAGGAGTACAAGGCCAAGCTGAAGGACATGATCGATAACTTCGAAAAGCGAACGCACCTCTTCGAGAGCACCGTTGACCAGTTCAGGGGGTGCCTATCTGACTTGGACCGTAAGTGGAGGTGCAGCGCTAACCTCCTGCACCAGCTCGTGGGCGATCCCGTTTTCGATTACATTGCAGAGGAGGACTTTAACCCACTCAAATTCGAGAGCAACCTCATTTCCATCTCTAGCGTGTTGAAGAACATGGCGTCTTTCATGAATGCGTCCTGCAAGCTGGTGAAGATGCGAAAGGTCGACACGCCGAGCAAGGAGGTACACGACAACCTTGCGAATGAGATCGTTCAGTTCGCAGGCATGGTGAGCTTCACCCAGAAGGAGGGCTTCGTCTTCGATGCCTCGAGCGCCGTGACCCGCCAGGAGGTCATCGACAAGACCGTGACCGCCTTTCAGGCGTTCGTCGGCGGTCCAGGCCCGACGGGTTGATCTCACTTGGCGTGCTGAACTCGCGGCTCGCCCCCCTTCCCTGTGTAGAGTAAGTTTCGTTGGCTGCGCGTCGCGTGCTGCCAGCGGGGGTGACTCTACGGAGGAAGGGGGGGCAGCGAGTGAGGCCGTCGGTTTAGCGCAACCCCCCAAGGGATGCATATCTACACCGAGTGTACCGACCAGTTCATCAACGGTAAGCCCGCCGAGATCGCTCCGATCCCGATCTTCACCATCCATGCGATCAGCGAGGCCGTCATCAAAGAAGTTCCTGCCGAGGAGGCTTTCGCCAGGGTGGTCACCGTTCATGGGGACCTCAAGGATGTCTTCTTGGAGAATATCTGCTGGTTAGACGGGTCGATCGAAGATGACAAGGTGATCGAGCAGTCCTCTTACAACCTGGCGTTGGGGGACCTGGTGTCTTTCATTGAGGCTGAGGATGGTCGCTCCATCCTGGTCCCAGGGACTGCCATGAATGGCGAGCCGATGCGCATGGAGGGGGCCCACGCGATGGCGTACCTGGACATGGTGACGCAGGTCAAGGACCTCGTGGGGTGCGCGGCGCAGCAGCATGAGAACATGTACCAGTTGCAGCAGCCCTTGGACGAGAACATATTGTTCGGAAAGTGTGTACACACGCAGCGGATGATGGCGCGGATGCTGGTTCGCATCGACGGGCTCTTGAATTCGAGCAAGGTGCACAGCTTCGAGACGGCTGGCTGAACGTGCAAGCTCGAGCCCCAGAACGTTCGGCAGTTCATCAAAGCGGTGGCGATGATTTCAGGATCCGACGGCCAGCTGCTCCTCAGGATGATGGCGGACTGCCTCAAGAGGAACCGTGCGACCTGCAAGGGCGTGCTTCCCGAGATGGGCGCAGCGTTCGACGCTGCGGGGGCCTACAACGAGAAGATCGGCAACGTGCTCTTCAGCAGCAGCAGCATGACGAAGGTTGTCAACGCGTACAACGCGCTGCACAAAATCGTCTCCTGCGTGGCGCGGGCTGGGAAGGTCCTGGAGGTCAAGCCGTGCGTGCAGGAGAACGACGTGACGGCGGAGGCCGTCGCGACAGCGCTCGCCCAGATGGCGAGCGGGCGGTGGCGGACTTGAGGAAGAGGAGTTGGAGGAGGAGGAGGAGGAGGAGGGGGGGGGAGGAGGAGGTGGAGCAAGACGAGGGAGGAGTGAGCAAGATGACGCGGAGCAGGGGGATGAAGTCCCTGGGCTGAAAGTAGGGGAAGGATGGGAGGAATAGGAGGAATCGGAGGCGGAGGATGAGGTACGGAGAGGATGAGGAGGGGGGGGAGGGGGGAGGGGGCAGCAGTGAACAGTGACGCTGGCTGGACCTCCCCTCCTCTCCCTCCGCCCCTCCCTCCCTCCCCTCCTCTCTCTCCCCCCCTGCCCTCCCATCCCTCCCTCCCTCCGCCCTCCCTCCCTACCTCCCTCCCCCCTCCCGCCGCCATCCCCCTCCCCTTTTCCCTCCCCCTCCTCCCCCTGCTCCTTCTCGACCTCCTCCTCCTCCTCTCCTCCTCACCTCCTCTCTCTCCTCCTCGCCATCCCTCCTCCGTCTCCTCCTCCTCTTGTTTTCCTCTCCTTCTCGCTCCGCCTCGGCTCGCTCCCTCTTCTCCTCCTCCTCCTCCTCCTCCCCCCCTCCTCTGACTCTCCTCCCCCTACCCCCTCCTCCTCCTCCTCCTCCCCTCCGCCTCCTCCTCCTCCCTCCTTCTCAAGTCCGCCTCCTTCCCCCCTCCCTCCCTCCCTCCCTCCCTTCCCCCCTGCCGCCCTCCCTCCTTCCCCCCCGCTCTCCCTGGGGAAAGGCAGGGGGATGAAGGAGGGGGGAGGGGGAGATGGGAGTAGGAGATGGGTGAACAGGAGGAGGGTGAGGAGGAGAAGGACGAGGAGGGATGAGGAGAGGGAGGAGGAGAGGGATGAGGAGGAGAAGGACGAGGAGGAGGAGTTGGAGGGCGAGGGAGGAGGAGGAGAGGAGGAGATGAAGGACGAGAGATGAGGAGGAGAGGGATGGGAAGGGATGAGCAGAGGGGGGAAGAGAAGGACGAGGGGGATGAGGAGGAGGGATGAGGAGAGGGATGAACAGGAGGGAAGGAGGCGGACTTGAGGAAGAGGAGGAGAAGGAGGAGGAGGAGGAGGAGGATATTGAGAATGAGGAGGAGAATGAGAATGAGGAGGGGAAGGATGAGGAACAAGAGGAGGAGGAGGAGGAGGAGGAGGAGGAGGGGGAGGAGGAGGAGGAGAAGGAGGGTGATGAGGAGGACGACGATGAGGACGAGGAGGAAGGAGGGGAAGGGCTGCCCCCCCAGGAGGAGGAGATATGAATGAGGGGGAAGGATTGAGGAGCAGGAGAAGGAATTGAGGTGAGGGAGGGGGAAGGGGGACCCCCCCCCCCCCCCCCCCTTAGGCGAAGGCCTAGCAGGTGGTGACCATGATCAAGGGCGTGAACATGCTCCCGTCCTTGAGGCGGGAGCCGTCGGGCCCGCAGCAGGCTCGCGACTTCCTGAAGGCGCACAAGACGGACAAGTCCAAAGACGTGCCCAGCGGGTTCTGGGCTGAATTCCAGCACATCGCCAACGAGGAGCGAGCGGCTCCCGACGACGGCAGCAGCAGCAGAGGCGGCGGCAGCCAGGCAGGATCGGCGTGCGCG